GCTAGTTTCCTACTATTTTTTACTTGAATAAATTTTTTCTAGTAATTTCAACAATAAATAAAATCATTAACACATTTACAATTCCAAATTTTTTTTATTTTATTAAAAACAACTTATAGGTTGTTTTTAATTTTTTTTATTGTTTCCAATAAAAATATTTGTCTACTTTAATAACAAGAAAAACTAATTTGCATATAATCTTAATTGTAATAAATACACAAAATTATTATAATACAGTCATTATTCGATATAAGGGAATACCGGGTACCAATGTTATTCGATATAATGGAAAAAATGAGGAATTGTATAATTAACAAAAAAATACCTCGGTTTGTTTTTTGTCACAAAAATATTTTTTTGATTATTATTTTTTTTCTAACCAAAATAAACTCTTCGCCTATATCTTGAAAACAATTGGCAATTATTTTTATTTCAAAGAAATAATAAATTTTATAATAAATCAAAAAACAAAGACAAATATATTAACACAATTAACATAATAAATAACACTTTTGTATTTAACTTTGTTTCGACTTAAAAACTTCAAATAAATCTGTTAAATCATTAAGTTTTAATGCAATCCAAATGTGTTAAAATAAGAACATCATTGATGTTACGAGACAAAATAAAAATTATTGAATTAATTGATCCTTATCAAAATTCACAAAAAGTAACCAAAGTTGTCGGACAACAACTGAAAATAGTAATTTCTCCAAAGCAAGTTTATCATTTGCCTTCAATTTCTAAAGAAACATTGATAATTTTTTATCCTCGTATTAACGAATAAGAAAACCACAGAACCTGGAACTTGAGGAAGCAATGATCAATTGGTTTCATGAAGTTCGTAAAGCGGGAATACCAATTGATTATTATATGTTGTCAACGAAAGTATACTTTTTGAAAGAATGCAAATACATTCATTGTATTATTTCAAAATAAATTTTTTTTGTTTATCTATTTTTATTATAATTATAATATTTTGTTTATTTTAATTAAAAATGTTCTATTAAAAATATAATAAAACATAGTTTTTATATTATTTTAATTGACTTATTAACTTAGTGACAAATTAATCCAATTATTACCATTTTTGGGTTTTTAAATTGAAATAACCAACAAAAAGCAAACACATAAATTTCTTTTTTTTATTTTTTTTCTATTATTCGATATAAGGGCTTCCTCTTATTTTTCTCCATTATATCGAATAAATTTTTATATCGAATATTGACTGTATTAAGAATTTACAAAAGAGTAATATTTTCATCAAACCAATCATTTTATATTTTAATTTAAATTATATAAAGTAAATTAAGTTTTAACATTAAAGAAAACTTGAAATCACTTAAAAAAGACTTCAACAGCAGTCGTAGTTGTAAAGCACGTCATCAAAGTTTCTTTTCTTTAAATTTTCGGTTGATATGAAAAAGTTACCAACCCCAGAATCTCCCCACATAATTTCCTTCTTATCTGTCACACCAATTGATTCCAATTGAAGTAACAAAGTGTCATACGTCTCGTCACTTCTTGGATCGTCTTGTGCAAAGTTTGGATATCCACCCAATGAACACAATTGGGGTTGGAATCTTTCATCATCCATAACATCATATAACTCATCTTTAGAAACGTTGTATTTCATTGCCATTTTATCAATGATTTGGTCTTTTTTGTACCATTTAAAACTGGCCCCTTCTTTTAATTTCCCTTTCATTGCAAAGACTGAATTAAACGGAACGCGCATGTATGAAATTTCATGGTTTTCGTTGTAATTTTTTGCGACTTCGTCTGGGAGTTTTTGTTGGTGTTTTTCGTCCAAGTCAACATTTTCGTGGTAAATCACTTTATGTTTAGTTGGATCATATCTTCCATTATCGCCATAAAGTCCATAGCAGTTGTCAGGGTAAATGAATATTTGAAGGATTCCAGTTGTTGGGAAATTCTCCAATTTTGGCATTTCACTGAAGTTTATTTGAGCGAGAAGGTACATATACTCACCACTTGGAATTGTTGGGTATTTCATTCCTATGGGGTAATATGGTAATCCACCGATTTTGCTTGAGTAAAAAGGAGCATCAGAATCCAAGAGTTCTAAATCTATGTATGGCTTTTTGTATACAGAATACAACTCTGACACTATTTTATCAAGAACTTCTTTACCAATTGTCATTTGTAAGTTTGGTATTGAAATTTATAGTTAAAAATTATTTTAAATAGTTGAATCTATATATAAAAAATACAAATTAATTATTTATAGGTTTTTTAAACAAAACATATGTATTTCAATGACAAATTTAGCTATATGTTGAAATCTTTTCATTATTAGTAAAACAGGAAAATAAAACCGTTTAATAATGATAACAAAAATGTGTTTTCCTTTCCCTTAATATAAGTTTTTTATTATGGTTGGATAAAAAAAATCTCTCATCATAAACATGGTTTGACAAAAGCTTTATAAATTTTTTTAAATTAATAAAAAATTATTATTAAATATTAAAAAAATCAATTTTTTGTCTAACCTTGTTAAGTAGTGTTTTTTATTGAGTGGACTCACTTATTAAATGTTAAATGTGATTATGTGATAAGTAAAAAAGGAGTATTACACAATTATTATTATTTTAATATAATTTAAACTAAAAATTTATAGTATAATACCAATGATAAAATGCTGTTGCAGATTAATGTGGCATTGTTAAAAATAAAGTTATTAAGCAAATAAAAAGTGTTTTAGTGGTACAAACAGTTGATTTTTTTGATATTGAAAATTGGATACAGTCAGTCTTTTAACGTTATCATGTAATTTTTTGACCATAAAAAATGGAATAATTCGGGGAGTAGTCCCAAAAACCCATCCCAATTGTTTAGGGTTTTTTCGCGCTTTACCTTATGCCCAATGTTTAGACAAAATTAAAGCTATTTTTTGTCTACCAGATAACTTTAAAAAACTGACTCTATAATATATATTATTAAATAATAATAGATTATTATACTTACTTTACATAATAATAAAAATATTTTACATTATAGAGTTAATAAGTATATTATCATCTCAATTAAAAAATCAATAACTTTTAAACATTACAAATAAAATAAAACATAATAACTATTTGTATTATTTGTTTTATTTTTGTTACAATTCGTCAATATATGATGAACGATATAGAACTAATATTTTTTTTATAAAACAAGTGCTTGTTGTGTGTTTCATATTAATAGGCTGATATAAACTGATTTTTTATAGTTAATATTTATATATTTATCATTTGTATTTTACTTTTATAAAGTGACCTTCAAAATTGTCACGACCCAAGTGATCCTAAGATCTTTTGGGTCGAATTAATTATTTTTTTGTAAATCGGCATTTTACTTCTCTCTTTACCAAATAACCCAAAAATATTTTTTAAAACTTCACATTTTTTTCTAAATTTACACATTGTTGAATTGATTATATTTAATCATAATTAACCTTAACAGATCGTGTTATCAATGTTCACATAACAAATTAATCAACACAATTAAACGTTCAAATAAACAAATAAAAACAAATATACAACAGTGTTGATACATAGACAATAGTTGAATTAAATTTCCACTTAAATGATAGTTGTTTATTACATTGAATTTATTGATTGTTAACAATAACTTTTGTGTAATGACTATGATATTCATAAAACAAAAATAAACGATTATCATTAATTTCATTGTGTAACTACATCGATGTACACACTTTTCATTCAACAACTTTTTGTTGATAATTACATACAAGAGAGTAGTTATATACGATTATTTTTTAACTATCGTTTTATTTAAATAAAAACACATAATTAAACATATATATTTTAGTAACACCACAACAATTATTATTATATATAATAGAAACGTGTATTGATTATTAATTCTAATAATTTAAATACAACAGATGATATATCATGTTTCACTGTTAATCACAACATTTTCATTTTTATAAAATGTCAAAAATAAAACGTGATAAATTTTTAGTGTGTAAACGTTTAACATCAAACCTCAACTTATAAACACTAAAATTACTAGAATAGCACAGCTTAAAACATTTTTGCTTATAACATGTTGCTCTCTCACATATATACATATATACATAAGAAATAAAAATAAATATTTTATCAACAAAGAGTAAAAGCAGAAGATAAAAAAATAAAATTGGTTTCATTTTTTGTTGTGGTACATTAGCTTAGTTGTTTCAACAAAAACGAATTCACATTTCATGATTAATTTAAAATTCAATTCCATACATATTTATCTATAATAACAGTTATTTCTCTAGATCATTCATAAAAGTGCATTAAAACATAAATGTTTGTCTTTTTGGATTTAAATAACGGTGTGCATATAATCTAAGTAATACACAAACATTTAATAACAATTCAATTGTTCTCAAATTGAATATTAATAAAATAGAAAAACATTTTTAATTAAATTTATAAAATATATTTAATCGTATCTAAGAGACAACACCAATGTAATTAAAAAACAAATTGGTT